TCTGTCCAATGGCTGTGATGCAGAAGGGGACAGTGAGGCCCGAGGGATCTCTGACTGCATCTCTAGGCCCTGGAGCCTTATTAGATGCTTCTTGAACCACAGAGGACTCCGAGCCAAGCCCTGCATTTTACTAATGATCCTCCCACTGCCCCAGTAGGCCCTCCCAGCACCTAGGGAGGGCTCTTCTTCCCCCCTCCTCAGTTCCCCTCCCCTGTCTCCCCTCTTCTTCCCTCCTCCCCCATTCCAACGCAGTCCAGGGCTTTCAGAGCCGGAGGAGCTGATGAGCTCTACTGGCCAGGCCAGTGTTCTCAGCTTTGGACTCACCACCACTCTGTGCCCTTGGGTAGCTCCTTGCTCCTCTGTGGACCTCAGCCTTCCCATCTGTGTAGTGAGGATGATACCCCACCCTGTATGTGCCCCATTTTTGATACAACTTTCTGCCTTGAGAGTAAAGCTGGAGACAGTGCTAGGGTTCAGGACAGAGGCCAGTGTGGTAGTTTTTACTTAGAAAGGACACGGAATGACTTGAAGGGGAGGTAAGGAGGCAGGAGGGAAAGGGACCAGCCAGTACCAAGCCCTTGCTGGGTTCCAGACACTGTGCCAAGCTCTGAAGCCCTGAGTGTGAATCCTGCCTCCCTCACTGTGCCCCTGGGTGGCCTCTGCCAGTGATTTCTGCAGTATTGTCCCAAAAGATAGCAGTGACGTTCAGGGCAATAAAGTCAACAGCAGGCCCACGCCTGGCACCTCACTGACCTGGCACCTCACTGGCCTGGCACCTTGCAGGCTTGGCACCTTGCAGGCTCTGCCAGTGACCATGGTGCCTCTCGCTGTGCTTAGCATTTTCATTTTCTTGGTCTCAAATGTCCCACTAGGGAACATTTCTCTTTGCCAGCATCCTTGCTGATGGTACAAGGCATATAAACAAAAACATCTTTAATGAATGTGGGGGCTGGGGAATGGCTTTTGGCTGAAGTCTCTGTGCTTAGGCTGGCCCTGCCCTGGGGTTTACAGCCTCCTGACACATGTCTGGCTCCCCAGCCAGGATGACTGTGTGTCTGCCCCCCATACTGGGAGTGGTTTTCCTCTAGAAGGAGCTGCCCGTGGTCCTGATGGTGCTTGACCCCTCTGGTCCCATGGTTAGCAGGCCAGATGGTCCCCCTTCCCTGCCCACCTCCTGCTGCCCACATTGCCACTATTTGTCCTTGTCTGTTAGGGACACTCACTGCCAGCTCTCAGGACACCTGATCAGAAGCTGCTGCTGGCCCCGGGCCGGGCCCCCCACTCCTTTCTCTCCAAGGCCCCAATGTACCCTGTGTGCCTGCCTCTCTCACCAGACCGGGAGCCTCCCGAGGGCAGGGACCATGTCTGATTCATCTGGGTCCTCGGTGGCAGGATGGGGCTGGGCAACGAGCAGTCCTCACTGACAAAGCATGCGTGTACTTTCTAGCTGTGTGACCCTGGACAAGTTACTTACCCTCTCTGAGGCTTGATGTTTTTCATCTGTAAAGTAAGGATGGAAAATAATAATCTACTCATGGGGTTGTTGTGCCAATTAAACTGACATAACCCATGTCACAGGCTTGCTACCTGACATTTCCAAGATGCTCCAGAATAATTATTGTTATTAGAGTCCCATGTAATGCCTGTGAATTTATTTGTTCAGTCAACATGTGTTTATTAAGCACCCTCCAGGCCAGGCTCTGGGCTAGGTGCTGGGGAATAGCAGTGACCAAGACTGAAGTGTCCCTACCTTCAGAGAGCTGATGTTCCAGTGATAGTACCAGAGCTATTCACACCATCACACACTTGTTTAATTATAACTGGAATAAGCATTTCAGAGGAGAAGTACCAGAGGCCATGAGACTAATGGACAAGGGTCCTGACCTAGTCTGAAGAGTCAAGGAGGGCTTCCTGGAGGAGGAGGGTGGATCCTAAAGGACAAGTGAGAGTCAGTTGGAGGAAGAACAAATGCAGAGTTCCTAACTGGAGAAAGACCTTGGAGCAGGGAGCAGGGGTGGGGCTTGGGGGTTGGGTAGAGAGGGAGGTGGTGGGGAGGGCAGAGGACCTTAGGTTTCTGGACCTCAATTTCCAGGGAGGTGATGATCAGAAAGTTCACTCTGCTGCTGTAGGGTGTGAAGGCAGATGTGGTTGCCGATGCTGTTACAGTGTCCCAGGGCCAGGAGATGGGGAACTGGGCCAGTGAGGTGCCGGGGGAAGGACAGGAGGAGACGGATTTTAGCAGAATGTAGGAACTAGGATTGGCCTGATTAGATGGAGGAGAGGAGGAGGCCAACTTTTGTCTGAGGCTGGGGGTGGGGGAGATTGTGGCACCATTCACCCGGCAGGAATTGGGATGGATATATTTCTGAGGGGGGAGGAAACAGATGGAGACATGAGGAAGGAAGGGGGAAACTCATAGGATCTTAGAATGACAGAGCTGGAAGGAGACTAGGAGCCTCCAGCTACTGCAGAGATGGGGAAACAGGTTCAGAGATGAGAAGGATTTGCCCAAGTCCTACGTTGTTCATGGCAGAGATGGGAATAGAACCCAGTTTTGTTTTCCATTTTGATTCCCTGGAAGCATGTCCCCCTATTTCCTCAGGAAACCAGATGTAACCTCAATGTGCCCCCATTCTGTCCCCGTACATCCAGGTCATCCCAAACTGGAAGGAGCAGGAGTGGGACCCCGAGAAGCCTGATGCCTATGCGGGCATCTTCCACTTCCACTTCTGGCGCTTTGGGAAGTGGGTGGACGTGGTCATCGACGACCGGCTGCCCACGGTCAACAACCAGCTCATCTACTGCCACTCCAACTCTCGCAATGAGTTCTGGTGTGCCCTGGTGGAGAAGGCCTATGCCAAGTAGGTGCCGGCAGTGGGCAGGTGGCCAGGCTGGGGTGGCACTGCTGATGGGCATGGGTGTTCCTTTAACCAGGGCTCCCAGCACCAAGAGATCAGGGGCTGGTGCTCAGAGCCCAGGCACCTAGGGCATGGCCAGCAGAGCCTATGCTGAGTGTGTGGGGAGGGACTGGACTGAAGGTCCTCTGGGTACCTGCTTGCCAAGCCCCCACAACTGACCCACACAGGGAGGAATAGTTACTCCCACTTATACTTGAGAAGACTGAGGCCCAGGACAGTTTCCTGCTGGTAGCCAGGGGCAGAGCCAGCACTCACATTCAGGTTAGTGGTTCTTTCCCAAAGATCCAAACTGCTGAGTCCTCACTGGAGGCCTTATTGGGGATGTGGTATCTCTGAGTCTGGGCCAGCTGTGGAGCCTTCCCTGCTCACTGGCCTCCTGTCTACCTGAATGACCGTGCATCTATTCATTCTGTCTTTGCTGACCACTTCCCCCTGCTCTGTGCCAGGCCCTGGGTCCCCAGCATGGGCATGAGCAAGGGTTTGCTAAGCTGTTGGGAGAGTGACCTGCCCAGGCCTCTGCAGGATGGGCAGGTCCGGGGCAGGAGGGCCAGAGGGTCAGACACCAGCCACCAACTCTGAGGGAGCCTGGTTCCTCCTCTCGGACCCATTTGTTGGTCTCCTTGGGCTCTGTTTTGTGTGTGTGTGTGGGGGGGGACTCCCAACATTAAAAACAATCCTTAGAGGCCCTAGCTGGGTAGCTCGGTTGGTTCGAGTGTTGTCCTGATACGCCAAGGTACAACAAATTGATGTTTGTCTGTCCCTTCCTCTCTTTCTAAAATTAATACATTTTTTAAAAAAAATTATTTAAGCCCATAGAAAACAGCGGTGAGCCAGTACCATGTTTAATCCTAAGAAAGCAAAGCCTGCCCCCTGGTGGTCACTAAGTCTCCACAGTCCTTGGTTCAGGCCCCTCTCCTCTCACCTGCGAGAGCCATTCGGTGGGCTTGCTCATTTTTGTTTTGTTTTGTTTTTAAATAACAATCTTATTTTTTATTGTGGTCAAATATGTTATTTATCATTTTCACCACCTTTAAGTGAAATGATTCAGTGCCATTGCTACATTCACGGTGCTATGTACCCAGCACCAGTACCTGTACCCAGCCTTTTCATGCCCACCTGAAATCTGCACCCACGCAACAGCACCTCCCCTTTGCACTCTTCTCCCAGCCCCTGGGGGCCTCTGTTCTGCTTTCTGTCTCTATAAACTGCCTAGACCAGGTAGCTCATATAAGTGGAATAATCCAATACAGTGGTCCCTTGGTTTTCGAATGTAATCTGTTCCGGAGACCGTTCAAGTTCTGAAACTTTCAAAAACCGAGGGGTCCACGACCAACAGCCAGGCCTCGGGATCCTGCCCTCAGCGGAGGCCGTGGGGCATGTTCGACTTCCGAGGCGTGTTCGAAACCGAAGCAAGCATGTCCGTGTTTACAGCGTTTGTAACCCGAAATGTTCGTCAACGGAGATGTTTGAAAACCGAGGTACCGCTATATTTGATCTTCCGCGCCTGGCTTAATGTCAAATAATATTTTAACGCTAGCATAATGTTTCCAAGGTGCAGCCATGTAGCACATGCAGGATTTCATTCCTCTTTGTGGCCGCATAGCGTTTCATCGCATGGATGTGCGCGTTTTGCTTACTCGTTCATCTGTTGACGGACGCTGGGTGGTTCCCACGCCTTTGGCTGTTGTGAACGATGCCGTGTGAACACCAGTGTCCAGGTATCTTCCTGAGTCTCTGCTTTCTGCTGTTTGGACTATATACCTGGCAGTGAACTTCTGGGCCGTGTGGTTCTGTGTTTACAGTTTTGAGTAACCACCAGCCTGTTTTTCACAGTGGCTGCACCATTTATGTTCACTTGTTTTTTCACTGATTTACTTTTTAAATTGTAAAACGAATGCATGTCTGTTATAGTGAATCCGGAAAATAAAGGAAAATCATGCAGAAGATAACGAAAGTGTCCTGTACTCCGGCGTATTCTTCCAGCCCCACCTCTCTCCTTCCCTATTTTGGGTCATCTGAGATCATCGGGCTCCTCCTGTGTTCAGGAACACCATCCGTGACCACTGTCCCCTCAAGCCCCACCTCTGTCTACTCCTGTCTCCATTTCCTCCCTTTGCTCTCACACTCCTTTCCCCACCAGTGGCAAGTCTGTTTCTTTTCATTTTAATTCTCACCCGAGGATATGTTTTTATTGATTTTAGAGAGAAAGGAAGGAAAGAGAGAGAAACATCAATGTGAAAGAGAAACATCGATCAGTTGCCTCCTATATGCACCCCGACTGGGGATCAACCCCACATCCCGGGTATATGCCCTGACCAGGAATCGAACCCACAACCCTTTGGTGCATGGGACAATGCTCCAATCAACTGAGCCACTAGCCCGGGCTCTTTCAACATCTTTGATGCGTGTTTTTTTGTTTGTAGTTTACCTTGCAAAACCTGTGTTGTTGTTTTCAATTTACATAAATAGTATTTTGTTGCATATCCTATTCCACTTCTCACAGTCACATTCAGTGCTCTGCCTTTAGGACCCCAACCCTTTTCCTAACATTTAAATAGGGAGCCACAGCTGTGCCCCTAATACCTGGTATGTTGCACATAATAGATGCTTAATATTTTTTAAATGAATGCATTTAAATATAATTGGAACCCAGCTGTATGGCTTTCTCAAATGTAATGAGCCAGCCCTACCATGTCCCAGCCACGGGAGCTCTTCCACAACGCTTTGCTCAATGACTGCCGAGTGCTCTTGAGTAGAGCTGCAGTGTTAGTTTTTAAAACCAGTTCCCTCTTAGACATTTAGGTGATTTCTTGTTTTATATTATCACAAATAATGTTACTCATCCAAAATTGATGTATCAAAAGATATATGAGCTTTTAATGCTTTTGAAAAGAATTGATAGCTTTCTGGACAGCTAATTTTTGAAGATGGGGCTGCTTAGTCTAAGGGGAATTTGAGTGATAAAGTGGTGTGGCTCAGTGGGACAAATGTTGGCTCTGCTGTGTGACCATAGCAGTTTGGCTGACTCTCTCTGAGTCTCAAAAATCTCCCCTATAATGTGGAGGATTTCTTTCCACGTTGCTCCCTAGGCTGGCGGGCTGTTACCAGGCCCTGGATGGAGGCAACACGGCGGATGCACTGGTGGACTTTACAGGTGGTGTTTCTGAGCCCATCGACCTGACCGAGGGTGACTTTGCCAACGATGAGGCCAAGAGAAACGCACTCTTTGAGCGTGTGTTAAAGGTGCACAGCCGGGGAGGCCTCATCAGCGCCTCCATCAAGGTAAGAACCCAGAGTCAGACCCCAGAGGTGACCCCTCCCTTCATCAACCTTAATAGGGGTGGAAGGTGGCTGTGGTGTCACAGGCAGAGCCCCTGCCCAGGTTGGCTAGTAAATCCAGACCCTCAGCCTCATGGGGGAAGGGAGCAGTTGGAGGGTGCAAGCCCCTCCCCAGTGCTGGGCAACACAAGCCCCAAGCCCCCTGCCTTAGCCCCCTACAATGAAATGCCTTGCCCACACTGTTTGACCAACACCCCCCTTTTCTGGCCCCCTCATATTGGGCTGAATGTTGTCTGTACATCTGAGGGTCCTTCAGTCAAGGTTTGAGGCCTCACAGACTATGAGGTGACTGGGAGAGGGAAGGGAGCCCCCTCTGCCTGCTGGCACATGCCTGGGTCCTTCAAGAGTCTTATTTCATTGACTGCTCATGTTTCGGTTGGGAAATCTAGGGCTCAGTGAAGGCAGAACTTGAATCCAGGTTTGGCTGACCCAGTGGTACGTTGATAAACTGGCTCTCTGGAAAAATAAAAAGCCCTGACTTGTAGCATTTGCTGATTTCCACGGTGTAAATACTCCTATCATGGTTGATTTCAAGCTAACAGTCTAACATCCACCTTGCAAAATTGAGTCAGTGTTAGTGGACTCCAACACACTGCCGGGCCAACCCCACTGCAGATCCGGGTCTTACTCCACACTGCTGCTCCGCGGAGCTTTGTAAAGGGCTGTGAATGGCCGAGCTCAGTCCCTAACCACGGAGGATCCAGATCCCCCCTTTTTGTGGGGCTGCCATTCTGTCCCCATCTGTAGGGGGCGCTGTGGCCCCTGGCTCCAGCTGGAGCCTGACATGGCCCTGCATCTCTGAGCAACCCTGTCCCTCGCAGGCTGTGACAGCGGCAGACATGGAGGTCCGCTTGGCCTGTGGCTTGGTGAAAGGCCACGCCTATGCCATCACCGATGTGCGCAAGGTGCGCCTGGGCCATGGCCTGCTGGCCTTTTTCAAGTCCGAGAAGCTGGACATGATCCGCCTGCGCAACCCCTGGGGCGAGCGAGAGTGGAACGGGCCCTGGAGCGACACGTGAGGCCTGGGGTGGGAATGCAGGCACAGGGCGGACCAAGGGCAATTGGTGGGGGCGGCTTGGTCTGAGGGCTCGGGCAAGGACGAGGGTGGGCTTCCTGGAGAAGGTTGATACCTGGGCTGGGTCTTGAAGGATTTGGGGGTTGGATGACATTAGGAAACTGTAGAGTGGGCGAGTGGAATCAGCATGGGCAAAGGTCTGGAGGTGTGGATGAGCTGACTCCTGTGGGGGACACAGAGACCAGTCTGGCGAGTGAGAGGGGAGGAAAGCAGGGAGGGAGGCCACCAGGAGTGAGAATGGGGGTGACTTCTCTGTGCTTGGTGAACTGAAACCTGACCCCCAGTAAAAGGAGTGCCTCCATTGAGGGTCTTGTCCCCCTTGTCCCCTACCTTGCAGCTTTGCTCCTTGACCTCCAGGGCCTGGCATGGTGACAGTCCATGGTTACCTGTGGGAATGGGCAGACAGGCTTCTTAGAGAGGGGCTGGGCCTGGCCCCAGGGGCCCGAACCACACCCACACTGAGGGAGGCCTGGTGCTGCACATCCCTCATCCTCTTTGTCCCTGCCACAGTGGCCCTGGTGGGGTCCCTCCCTTACTCTCTTTTCCCTTCCACATGCTCACACCCCAGCTCAGAGGAGTGGCAGAAGGTGAGCAAGAGCGAGCGGGAGAAGATGGGTGTGACTGTGCAGGACGATGGCGAGTTCTGGTGAGTGTGCTCTTGCCCCGGGTGGAGGTCCAGGCTGAGGGAGGACCTCCTGTGTGCTGGGCAGGGTCTCTGAGGGGAGGTAGGAGCCAGGGCTCTAGCAAATGCCACACCCTCAACTTGCCGCGTGGCCTTGGACAAGTCATGCTGTCCTGAGACTTTTTCCTGCTCTGAAAGATGAGTTGGGCAGCCCTTTCATTTTCACAGTGTCCTCTGCCCACCTCAGAGGACCCTTGGCTGCTCAGGCACCCAGGCTGAGCCCTTCAGCAGCCCTTCAACTTGGCCAGGACGCCAGCAGGGTGGGATCGACCAGAGGGCAGGGGGCATGCTCGCAGTCTGATTGCCCAGAGCAGATAGGGAAAAAGAGAGGCCTAATGGGGCTGGGGGGGCGGCTCCTAAGCTGAGACCAGTGGTGCAGAGGAGCCGTTGGTGGTCAGGGAGAGAGACCCAATCCAGAGGCAAGAGTGCACACTGGGATTTGGAAGAGTAAGTTTAGGGAGGCACATGGGTGGAGGTGGACTGGGAAGATGGCAGCAGCATTGCTAAAGAGCCCAATGATTCTTGCATTCATTCATCTTGCATTCATTCATTCTTGCATTCTCTCATTCCTGCATTCATTCACTTCTATATTCATTCACTCCTGCATTCACTCACCCCTGCATTCATTCATTTGCATTCATTCATTCCTGCAGTCATTCATCTTGCATCCATTCACTTCTGCATTCATTCAGCCTGCATTTAGTCCTGACTGTGTGCCAGGCTCAGTGTCATTCTTCAGCAGGACTCTTGATTCAGAGTCTCAGCCACTTTCTGGAGGGGTACAGGGCACCTTGTGTGTGGTGGATGCTGTGAGGGCCCCAGGCAGGCCCAGAGGCAGATGGTGGTGACCTTGGTACCCCAGTGATGACCCCTCCTGCAGGTGTCAGGGGAGCCCCTGGTCCCCTGGTCTAGGCTCCTGTGGGTGAGATCCCACTGTGCCCAGTCTGCCTCAGGGCTCAGTTGAGTTAAAACTTAGTAATAGAAACTCCTCATTAGTGTAAGGGGCTTCTTCCTAAGGCCTTTCTCATATGTGTTCACATACAGTGCATATATGTGCATGTTCTCATGTGTGCCTACTTGAAGGGCGATAGGCACTTTCCCCTGACCCACCCAGGCTCCTGGAGCTGTATTCAGTGCACAGTGACCATTACAACATCCTGGCCACTGCAGCACGCTTACCAAGGGGTTCCCGCCACCAGTTTATTCAGGCCCCACAACAGCCGTGGAGGATAATGGATGGAAACATGCTTTATAAACTGTAGAGGGCCGTATATATTAGTTTTTCATACTATTAATACTTGTAACAGCCAGACTTTGCAACTGCTTCTTTCTGCCAGGAGTTGTACAACATGCTTTTATTGCATTAGCTGATTTCTACACTAGCTCTGTGTAATGAGCAGGTGTTGTTAGATCCATTCCCAATTTACAAATCAGAAAACTGAGGCCAAAACAGATGTGAAGGGTTAGTGTGATTCCATGTCCATGCTTACTGTTGTGTGAGCCGTGGTTCAGAGCATGCAGGACAAGCAGACGGTGGGCCGGCTGGCTAGGGAACCTGCCTGGCTCAGCCCCTTGCCACGCCAGGATGACCTTCGAGGACCTGTGCCGGCACTTCACCGACATCATCAAGTGCCGCCTGCTCAACACGTCTTACCTGAGCATCCACAAGACGTGGGAGGAAGTCCAGCTGCGTGGGGCCTGGACGCAGCACGAGGACCCATGGCAGAACCGCAGCGGGGGCTGCATCAACCACAAGGACACCTTCTTCCAGAACCCACAGGTGAGCATTCTTGGGGACCCCCACCCTGCCCCTCGAGCAGCTGCGGGGACCCTCTCCACTGTCCCGCCACAGACTCCTGCCTCGGCTCTGGTATACCCCCGGCCCTCTTTGGGCTCCAGCGCACCCATCCCTACGGTGGGGGTTGGGTGGTATGTGTGGGTGGTCGTGTAGTCCCCAACCTCACAATCTGACCCACAGATGGCAAAACTGAGGAAACAGGCTCTGAGGACTGAGTGTCTTGTCCAGAGTTACTGGGACATTTAGAGGCTGAACTGGGGGCTCAGACCTCTTGTTTCCACACACATAGTGCTGCTCCTTCTGGAGGAGGATGGCCAGGCTGGCTCCTCCACAGGACCTCTCCCCTGCAGCCTCCTCGGTCATGCCTCTTTCTACTGCTTAGCCCCGGTGCTTGGTGTGTCTTTATGGAGCCCCAACTGCATGCGTTCTCTGAGCTGAGCAAACATGATCTCATCAAGTCCTCCCACCCCTCATGCAGGGTAGGCATTTTAGGCCCATCTTGCTGATGAGGGACTGAGTCTCAGAGAGGTGATGTGACTTGCCCAAGCTCACACGGCTGAGCGGGGGCCTGGCTGTGGGCTGAGTTTCTGGGAGCCAGCAAGCCGATTATCAGCGTGGTCTCACTGTGGCGTCTCTCTTCCTCCGTCATACTGGCAGTACATCTTTGACGTCAAGAAGGCAGAAGATGAAGTGCTGATCTCTCTCCAGCAGCGGCCAAAGCAGTCCACACGTCAGGATGGCAAGGGTGAAAACCTGGCCATTGGCTTCGACATCTACAAGGTGAGGTCTGCTCTGGGTGAGGAGAGTGAGGGAGCTGGTGTTTGGGCCGCCTGCACCAAAGGAAGAACATCTTGGTCACTGACTTGATCCCTGCCACCCTAACCACATTGGCTGATGCCATGGGCTTACTGTGGCATGGGCCCTGTTTGCGGTATCCACAGAGGGCCCAGTCTGCCTGGAATTGGCTCCCAGGGGAGCACTCAGCCTGATTTCTTCCTGTCCCAGACCCACAGGCCTAGACTGTTTGGTGTCTGGGGAAGGGGAGGATTGGTGCGTGGGGCTGGGCTCTGGGAGCCCCATGCTGCCCCCTCCCTCAGGGTGCTGGGTCCCTCTGAATTAGAGGCTTTGCTAGGCACAGGGAGGAGGCATCTTGGGCAGACCCAGGCAGGCTCACCAGTGGCCTCTTCTCCTGGCTTGGACCCAAGTACCTTCCACCTACTGTGAAGCTCAGTGTGTGATGACACTCAGCTTAGAGGGTCAGCATGCCAGAGCCGAGAACCTAATGACACCGCATGGATATGCGAGGCACGTATTGAGTCCCTGGCATTTGACATGCTTGGTCATGTCATGACAGTTTGTTCATATCATTGTGGTGGTCCATTCATTGTGTGCTGATGTGCTGTGACTTTGACATGACATGTCTGACCTTCACTGATGTGACTGTAGGTTATCACGTCACTTATTCCAGCAATTGTCCAGCATGTCTTACCAGCTGGCAATATCACTTCCTGGACACCTGCTGAGACCTGGGCAGGTAGTGATAGTTGCTTCTGTTGTGATGGTTAGAAACCCAACAGACGTTGTCATCAGGAGAATTCCTATTGCTCCCTCCCCTTTAAGAAGCTTTATTGAGATATAATTCACATACCACACATACCGTGCAATCCAGTCATTTAAAGTGTACAGTGACTTTAGTGTATCATAGAATTGTGCAGCCATCGCCACAATCAATTTTAGAACATTTTCATCACACCAAGAAGAAAACCCACACCCTTTAGTCATCAACACCGAGTCCCATGCACCCCCACCCCAGCCCTAGCAAACACTCATCTCTTTCTGTCTGTGGATTTGCCTGCTCTGGCCATTTCGTGTGAGTGGATTCTATCACCCTTCTGCACTGTGGTGAGGGAGAGGTGTGGGATGTGGGTGGCGTGGCGCTGGGCGCCTCTGTGTGACCTGCCCGCCTCTGCCCGCAGGTGGAGGAGAACCGCCAGTACCGCATGCACAGCCTGCAGCACAGGGCCGCCAGCTCCATCTACATCAACTCCCGCAGTGTCTTCCTGCGCACGGACCAGCGCGCGGGCCGCTACGTCATCATCCCCACCACCTTTGAGCCAGGCCACACTGGCGAGTTCCTGCTCCGAGTCTTCACTGATGTGCCCTCCAACTGCCGGTGCGCCGGGCCTGGCTCGGGCCAGGGTGGGTGGGTGAGGCTGAGGTCCACACCAGGCTGGCCTGGAATCTGAGCCCAGAGATGCTCAGTGTCTGCCCAGGCGTCGGGCCCAGGCCTCCAGCCTCCCCCGTGCCTGTCTCCCTCCTCTCCCTTCCCCTGCTCCCTTGTGCCAGCTCCTCTCAGCCACATAATGGAATAGCTTCTCATATGAGCATAGCACTTCACAGTTTACAAAGATGCTTTCACTTGTCTCATTTGCTTTTCTCAAACCCAGACTAGGAGATCTGATCCCTCCGTTTTATGGATCAGAGGTGGGGATTGAGGTTGGGGATATTTTCCAAGATCTTGCAACCAGTGGTAGAGTCGGGCTGGGTGGACTGCTAAAGCCATCTCGTCCCTGCAGGGGTGTGCACACTACTGTCCCACCTGAGTAGGCAGCCCACATCCTACACCTGGGAGACAGTTTGGTGAACCAGTGGACCTTGGTCCCACCAGCCTAGGCTCCACCAGCTGTGCGGGTGGGCGAGTCCCTTCCCTGCTGAGCCTGATGCTTTCTAATCTGTAAAATGGGCATAATAGTCACCCACCTTCCAGGGCTTTGTAAAGATTAGAAATAATTCCTTTAACATCCCAACAGAGGGCTTGGCACACAGTAGGTGCTCAGTAAATTGCTTTTCCCTTGGGGAAGGATGGGGCACCCTTGGGTGAGCATAGAGCAGCAGGAAGCCCAGGGGGTTGTCCAGGACAAGCAATGTCTGGACTAAATAGTGCTCCTCTTCCCCTCCCCCTCTTATTGAACTCCCTCACCTTCCATCTTCCTGACCCCCCTCTGTGACCTCACCCCTTTCTTCTCTACCCTGTACCAGGGAGCTGTGCCTGGATAAGCCGCCCCGCTCTTGCTGGAGCTACCTGTGTGGTGACCCCAAGCAGGTGACCCAGGTGCATGTCCTGGGGGCTGCTGGTCTCAAGGACTCCCTGAGAGGTGCGTTCATTCAAGGAAAGCCCCCCCACTCTCCTCCCCAGGGAGGTTTTCCCATGTTCCCCACCCCCCACCCCCCAGCTGCAGACACCCAGCCTCCAGAGCTCTTATGCTCTCGATCACTGAATGAGCAAACCTTTCCTGAGGTCCACTCAGGCCCAGCCTTGGGATGAAGCTGGGTGCATAGAGAGGAATGCTCTGCCTCTTACTCTTGGGAGGCTTCTAGTGAGGTGGGACAATAAGGCACAGGGATGGGCAGCTATGAGGGAGGCTCAGGGAGACCTTCCTGAAGGGAGTGGCCTTTCTCCAGGCTGAGGAGGTGTTAAGGTACGAAGCCTGGTGAAATGGAGTAGGGCAGAAGGATGCTCTGGACAGGGGAAACAACATGGGTAAAGGCCTGGAGGCTAGAGATTACCAGTGTGTCCCTCCTATCTCTGGTCTGTGTTCTCTTGAATACATGAGCCCAGGCTTCTCAGGTGGTAGGACCTCACCTCCCAGATATCTGCCCCATCCAGTCCCTGCCTTAGCCCCCACCCTCACCCATCACCCCCTCCCTCTCTCTAGGGGTTAACTCTTACGTGATCATCAAGTGTGAGGGGGACAAAGTCCGCTCAGCTTTGCAGAAGGGTACTTCGACGCCCGAGTACAATGTGAAAGGCATCTTCTACCGCAGAAAGCCGGGCCAGCCAGTCACTGTCCAGGTGAGCCCACTGGTCCTGGGGCCACTCCTGTGCCCCTAGCCCGACACTTCCCCACTCAGAGGGGCGAGGCCTGGAATGGCAGAGCCTTTGATGGGACCTGGGAATGCTCGGTTCTGGTTCCCACTCTGTCCTTGACACAGCGTGACCTTGGGAATTCTCTTGCCTGCTCCTCCTGGTGCCCCAGAGACCCCTCTGTAGGGTGGGTAAGTTAGATTAGCTGATGTGACTCTGAGACCCAGCAGGGTCAGTCTTCTGGCCAGGGACAGTTGCCATCTCTGTTGACTTTACCCCAAAGCCTTGGGAGTTGTTCCCTAAATTCCCCTGTAGGTGGGTTCACCTGGAAAAGTTGCACTGAGGTGGCATGTGGTGAGGTGGTTGCTTCCTGAGGGTAGGGGTCAGAAAGCCAGGTCCCTGTGCCTGGGCTTCCTTTTCCTCTCAGGCCAGGGTGTCCAGTGGACAACAATTCTGAACTCATTAGTGGGAAGCCCTCTGTCCCCTGGGCCTAGGCCAGCATCCCTCTGGGTGAGCAACCATCCATAAATAAACACTTAGGTACCCCAGGGGAGGCACTATAGGTTTTCCAAGTTTTCCTAACACCGGATCTAATCACAGACCCATGGATGTGGGGGCCAGAAGGACTCTTAGGGGCCATTGATACCCTCATATTAAAGATGAGAAACACAGTGCAGGGGGTGTATCACTTTTCAAGGTCAGCAGCAAAGCTAATAGTAACAGACTTAACTTTATACGTGGAAAGGAACTTTGACAGAGGGGCAAACCTTGCCTAAGGTTCATGGTGAGGCAGAAGCAATGCAGGAAGGGGATTCAAGGCCCTGCCACCACTGCCAGTCCCCCCCCACACCAATCCTTAGAGATGGCCCCCCACAATCTTCTGTCTCCTCCTAGATCTGGAACCACCGAATCCTGAAGGATGAGTTTCTGGGCCAGGTGCACCTGAAGGCTCACCCAGATGACCTCCAGGCCCTGCACACACTCCACCTCCAAGACCGAAACAGCCAGCAGCCCAGCGACCTGCCAGGAACCATTGCTGTGCACGTTCTCAGCAGTACCTCCCTCACGGCTTTCTGATGCCTCTCCACCTACCTGGCCCCCACATTTCTCACTACCGTCTGCATGTCCCCAACCAGGGACTAGCCTGGGAGCCAGGACACGGGTCTTTTTCTCAGCTTTTGCTGTGTGACCTTGGGAGGTCACTGCCCCTCTCTGGGCCTCAGTATCCTGAGGATCCAAGGCATTCCTTTCTCATGGAGGTCTTCTTGCCTGAGATTTAAAATAGCCCTCCTTACCCCAACTGTTACCACTGCTAAGAGACTCTTATCTGTTGAAAATGTTTTTCCAGGGCCCTGCTGTCTGCCAACAGAGTGCCAAGAAGATGTTACTGTTTACACACAAACTGCTACATCCCCAAGCCCCATTCTTGCCCCTCCTTCCCTGTGCCTGCCCCAGTGTCCCAGACATTATTTTCTCTGTCACTACACCTGGTTTTCTAGCCACCTTGAAAGGACTCTTGGCTCTTGCTAGGTTCCTGCTCAGGCTGGAATTTGGGAAACATGCAGGTGACATTTGTTCATTCTCAAATCCCATCCACCCTCCCACCCATTCATTTATTCAACAGAGATTTGCCAAGTGAATAAGCAATGCTCATGAGACCCCAGGTGGAGCGGGGCCCCTGCCCACAGCTCTGGGAGACCTGGTGTCGATGCTGGGCCTCACCTCTGCTCTGAGGCCCTCTGAGGCAGATGCCCGGATGCCCAGAGGAGCTGCAGCTGCCTTCTCACTCCATGTTCTGATTTCATCCCCAGCCTCTGGAGAAGCTTCATCAGTGATGGAAAAGAAGGGCATCTTCCCGTCTCCACTGCCCTGATGCCAGAAGGAGTGTGCCCAGTTTGGTGGCCAGGAACCAGGCAGGTAGAGAGGACATGTAGACCCGAGGGGGAGGCCCATGTTCTCAGGACCCCCTTTGCTGCAAAACCTGGGCTTTCCTGGGAGAAGGGGCTCTGTGGGGTTGGTATCAGGCCTGCAAGGGTCAGGTCACCCACTGGGCTTGGCAGGAGATAGGACAATCCATCACCTGACCAGAGGCTCTCCACCAACATTCCCCCCAAAATGCAGCCAAGGAGGCCACAGCTCTCTTCTTGCTGCCCGGACCAAAATGTTCCTTTCAGTCCTCAACATTTTATATTCTTCCTGTTTTAAAACTCTCCATTTTAACCAGGGGTTTTAAAAGGAACCCCTTTTCTCTTCTTAAACGCCATTTCTTGTGGTCCTCTGATTTTATTTTGATTCCACCTGGGGAGGGATCAGGAGACGTCACCCCTTCTCAGGCGAGGTCTGGAGGTAGATAAAGAAGAGGGTGGTTTGTACTTTGATGTTTTACAAGTTGGCACCAATCATGTTGGCACTGTGACCCGCTTCGGGCCTCTCTGTGCCCTTCTTGGGCACCAGAGCAGACAATGTAAATTTAAAAAGCTCCGCTGGATCAAGAACAGGCATTCCCGTGGGCTGTGGGGGACTTCCTTTGGAGAAGAATTTTCGGTTCCAGAGCTGGCTCTTTGGGCCAGTGTCCTGGCTGGAGGGGCTGGATTCTTGACTTTGCTGCCTCACTCCATGGCCGGCTCTGCTCCTGTGTCATGGCCCTGGGCCATGTGAGGGCCGGGAGCTGCACGACAAGGAGGACAAGAGGACTCTTGGAAAAACTGCACCTTCCTCTCGAGAACCTGGGCCTGAGGCCGGGACTCTACAGATGACCAGGAGCAAGTCATTCAAACCTCCTGTGCCTCAATTTCCCCCTTCTGCAAAGTGGGGCCAATGATTCCTGTTTGCCAGCACTCTTACTAACAAGTGCTGAAGAAGGGCAAAACCACACCCTTTCTCTATGTGTCTGTATGCGTGCACACTGTACACACTCATGTAATCACTTTTCAATGTCTATTTCAAATGCACACTCCCGAGTTGGGGTGGAGAGGCAAGGGCCAGATAAGCCAGCTTGGGGCCCCTGGGACAGACATGTGGGTCTTTTCTCAGGCGCATCAACCTGGGCCTTGGAACGAATCAGGACCAACTGGCAGGTCTGTGGCCTGGGGCAAGGGTGGTGTGTGCCCAGAGATAAGGGAAAAAGGGCTGGGGACCCTCCCGCACTTCCTGCTCCTCTGGGTGGGCCAGGCTGGATCCTGGATGTGCGGAGGTCTCTGGTCCCTGGGAGGTCCCGCGGACGGGGCAGGTGAAGTTGGAGTTCTTCCAGGCTGGGACTGGAGGGTGGGTGGGGAGAACATTGCTCTGTGCGCCTGATGCACCCTTCAGTCCACAGGGGCCCAGTCCCCTTTTGCAGATGGGTGGGGCCTCTGGTTCACACCACCTGATCTGGGCTTCACTCCCTTTATGGCGCACCGTGGGGTCGGGGAGACCTGTTCTGTTCTCAGAATAAACATTACCATAATCCAAGAAAGACCTTCCTGTGTCTGTCTGTCCCTCTGGGTTTAAGGATAATGGAGGAGCTATTTCCCAGGCCCGGATGACTGTCCTCTGGTCAGAGACAACGTAAAGGAGAACGGGTGTTACAGCTGAGGCTGGACCCCCGCTACTTGCCCGTTGCATCTGTGAGCTGACATCACTGGCATCGTTCAGTTACTCCCTCAGCTGGCCTTGTCCCAAAGAACTAGGCATGCAGGGGACCAGCCACAGTCCCTGCTCTGGGGCAGTCTACAAACTAGTGGGAAAACCAATAGAAATACAGTGGTATCTCAGTTTTCTAATGTAATCCATTCTGGAGACCGTTCTAGTTCTGAAACATTTGAAAACTGAGGGGCCAACAGCCAACAGCTGGGCCTCAGGATCTTGTACTCAGCAGAAGCCATGGGGCATGTTCGACTTCTGAGGCATTTCGGTTTGAAAACCGAAGCATTTCCTTCCGGGTTTACAGCCTTCCTAAACCGCAGTGTTCGTCAACCGAGACATTTGAAAACCGAGGTACCACTGTACTCTGATCTGGACAAGCGTCTCACAGAGAATTGCTAGCAAGGTGGTGTGGGAGTTACTGGGCTGTTTGAGCCTCTGGGGGAAGGAAGGCCTAACCCTGATCCAATCGTCAGATGGAGGGAACAGCCGGGTGAAGGGCCGCAGACAGAGGAGATGGGCTTGTGCAGGTGCAGGTGGATGTGGGGAGACCAGAGCACACAGCTTGAGCCAAGAAGCCAGGGGTGGTGGTGGGGAGAAACAAATAGAATGTGGAGGTACAATGGACAGAACTCGATGGCTGGGTTGCAATGGAGAGTGAGAAAAACAAATGAATTAAGACCAATTCCTAGATTTCCCCATAGGGCTGTGAGAAATGAATTCTGTGCTCACTTTAGTGCAGAGCCTGGCCGCTGGCGGGCCCTGAGTACATTGTGGCTGTTACGGCATCTGGAGATCACATCATACTTCCNGAATTCTGTGCTCACTTTAGTGCAGAGCCTGGCCGCTGGCGGGCCCTGAGTACACTGTGGCTGTTACGGCGTCTGGAGATCACATCATACCTCGCAGCTCCCCACCACCCCTCGCCCATCGCTCACAGCTCAGACCTGCATTCTGCCTGGGGCACCATGTGCCTCTTGGGGCTCAGCTCTCCCATCTGCTTAGGGCTGACTCCACTTGCCTGCCCAGCACGGCTTAGTAGAGAGGTGACTGGAGGAATGGTAGGTACCTGTCTACGGCAAGCGCGAGTCTAGGAGTGGGGACGGTGTTCCAGAGCAATTCCTGCGAAGGCCACCTGACCAAGCACACTCTGGCATCCAGGGGTCTTCAAGGGTCACGACTGTTGTCTGTCAGAAGTCAGAGGAAGCCCTGGCTTCCGCAGAGGCCGAGTTCCCCACTGTCACTTCTCCAGGCAGAGCTGGATGCTCAGCCTTGCTCCCAAGGGGGAGCCATCATCGTACAGCTACACCTTTGCCCAGCGGGTGGCGCACTTGGACCACTGGGTTCTGGGGGATGGGCGCCCCATCTTTTGGAGTGGTTCCTTCCTGCCTACCTGCCCCAGTTAAAGCCACTGGAGATCCAAAGAGCACCTCTCTCTGCTCAGGCCTAGAGCTGCCCCTGAAAAGGCCCGCAATGATGGGGCACCTGCCACGCAGAGGGTGGTGAGGAGGAAGCCCCAGGACTGTGGGGAATCCTCAAAAAACAAACTTCCTGTTTGCTCCTCCTTGTTTGTCCCCCACATCCCCTTAAAAACCACACATGTCACTTTACTTCGTATGTGTCCCTGCTACATGCAGGTTGCTCCAAGTCGGCTGGTCTGAGAAAGTTTCCTGCATGATCATAGACAACGCTCCTCCCCAGCAGGTTGTGGGCCTGTGGTGAAGTGAGGGGCACACATCTGAGGGGAGCCCTCAGGGAGTGGCCTGGGGTGAGGGTGCTGTGTGCACAGGGATGAGGGAGAAAGGGCTGGAACGGGGCTTGCAGCATCTTGCCCTACCTGGTCCTTTCTTCTCAGAGTCTCAAACGGCCACTTATGGAGGAGAAAACAGTCTTGGTGGAGGACAGGCAGGGGCCGAGACTCAGCAAATCAGTGACCGAATCAGGATTAGGACATGGTTCCCTGCCAGGTGCTGAGAGCAGGTGGTGGTACTGCGAACACTGGGGGGGAACTGAGGCTTGGGTGGGCCAGCCAGGGTCCCACGCTGGTCACGGAACAGCCGAGAGAGACCCCAGCGCCCTGCCTCCCTCTGGGCAGCCAGCGCTCTGCACAGAGTCCTGAGCGGCACAGCCCGCCCCCCACGCTGATGTCATGGCACCCGGACCTTGGAGGCCCCTCCGACTCCGACTCCGCCTCCTGGGGGAAGGCTCTGGAGTGGGGAGGAGAGGGCAGCAGTGTCGCTGGACAGCCGACCTGGGCAGGGACGAGAGGGAGACTGAGCNGCCTCCTGGGGGAAGGCTCTGGAGTGGGGAGGAGAGGGCAGCAGTGTCGCTGGACAGCCGACCTGGGCAGGGACGAGAGGGAGAGACTAGAGGGAGAGTCACACAGTGAAAAACCGAAAGGCCCAGAGAGACCCCCAGAGCAAGCTTTGGAGCAAGACAGAAGAGAGGCCGCGTGTCTACAGACTACCCCAGAGCCCGTGACCCCAGCCCTCCGTGCAGGTGGCAGCTGCACCCAGGCTGGTGGGCAGCTGAGAGTGGGCAGCCGGGACACAGGTAAGTATGGGCTGCCCCCGTCCTGGGCATTGGAGAAGGGTTTGCTGGACTTCAGGGGGTGTCATGGGCGTGGTCCAACCTGGAGCCCCTGTGACCACAGCCATTTGCTTCCGGTCTGGGCCTCCTGTCACCTTTGGGGGCTCAGCCACAGCAGCCACCAAAGGAAACTGTCCTGAGCCTGGAAAGATGGAGGCTTGTACCCTGGAAATGGGAAGAGCCAGGGGCATACTGTTCATTGAATTGTCTGTCAGGGCTGGGGCAGGGAGCAGCCATGAGAAAGAGAGAGACAGNCTGTTCATTGAATTGTCTGTCAGGGCTGGGGCAGGGAGCAGCCATGAGAAAGAGAGACAGAGAGAGAGAGAGACCTCTGTTCCTGTCCCTGTCCCCTTTGGCCTTTCTTGAACACTTTATCTCTTTCTTTATTTCTCTCCTCAGATAAGTCACTTCCTTCCTCTGTGCTTCAAAGTTCCCATCTGTGAAATGGGAATATGAAACCTCACCAAGGTATGAAGTAAACCAGGGACAGCACAGAAATATAAAAGCAGTTCTGTGTTCCTTGCTCTCAATTTGCAAAGCAAAGCAATTAACTTGAACATGGACTGGTTTTTTTTTTTTTTTTTTTAAAGAAAAAATATGTCCTTTTTATAGTTTTCTCTTTATGGGTGGCCCTTAAATTCTATGCCCTCACCCAAGGCCCTGCATCTTAATGAAAACCCTGGTTCTTCCCCCTGGCTCTCATGGCTCACACTGGCTCAGGATGTCAGCACTATGGCCGGGCTTCCCCTTCAGATGTAGCTCCCCGTGGAGGCTGCCTGGTTGCCCTTGCTGAATTCCTTTCCCTGCCAGACACCCAGGCCTGATGCAGGTCTCTGGGAGGACTGTGTGCCCACTGTGTCCCACAGCTCCAGGGCAGGGGTCAGGGCTCGGGTGTCGGGCAGTGTCATGGACAGAGGATCAAATGCCCCAATGCCTCTGAATGGACCTTGTGAAAAATTGATGCTCATCCTGGGGGGCAGGTGGGGGGCTGGAGGCTCCTAGTGCTGGGGCCTGTGGGTTGGGGCTGACTTGAAACACCACACTCAGTCCCACTAGTCCTTTCTGAGTCAACTTTAGGCCTGGCCCTACACTGTGTGAGGCGATGGCTGAACCCCACTCCCCACCATGGATCAACTCCCTGACTTTGGGGTCAGAGGTAGGGACAGACCCTGACAAGATAACATGCAATACATATAATCAGGGCTGGATAGAGGGAAATATCAGGACTCTCGGCAGCCTTGGGATGGTCAGGGAAAGCTTCCCAGAGGAGGTAACATCTGAACTGAGCATAGGTAGAAATTTACTAGTCAGAATTCCAGGTGGAGGAGCCAGCATATGCCAAGGCCAGGAGGTATGAAAAGGGCTGGCACATTTCAGGAACAGAGAGTGCTGAAGATGGTCCACGTGCAGGGCTGGGGAGGGAAGAGAGCAGTGAGAGGTAAGGCTGAGACATCAGCAGGAGCCACATGGTGCTGGGCCTTAAAAGCCAGACTGGGGGGCTTAGAGCCTTCACCTTGGTGGCAGTAGGTGCTCTGGAAGGGTTTAAGCAGGCTCAGCCCATGACCCTCCCCTTGGACCAGCCTGTCCCTATCACCTTCCTCCTGGGGTAGCCCTGAGCTGGGAGGCCTGAGACCAAATCCTTGTCCTGAACTTACCCTGTCCTACTGTATGAACTTAGGCAAGTCTTCGTCCCTCTCTGATCCCCTTTGCCCATATGTCCAGGTAAGAGGGGTGTAGACTTGCGACTTCCTAGGAGCCTTTTGGAATCTCTGAATAACAGTGACCAAGAGAGGAGCTCAGCTGCTTTGGGCAATAGAGCTGGTGATGGTGGCTGAGGCTCAGGTCACACAAGCTGGACTGCAACCAGAGGGAGAAAAGCCAAGGAGGTTCCCCAGAGGCAGGAGGGGCTATGGCTTTGGGAGAAGCCCAGGTGACCCCTGTCAGGTGCAAGGCTACCAGGGCTGGCCTGCTCAGAAGCTTGACATGGTCTCTCCCCCTGCAGAACAGTGTCTGGCCAGGTGGGCAGCAGGAGTATCTGACGAAGGACAATGGTGATTCTTCAGCAGGTGAGTGCTCTCTGCACCTCAGTGGTCTTCATCTTTATGTGCCAGGAATAACCCTTTTGGGTTGCTCATTTTACCCCATCCCATATTCTCTCATCCATATGCTTAACTATGGAAGACCCTTCCCAATCCTGTCTTTCAGAAAACTCCATTATATGCTTCAAAACCTAGCTGTGAAGCT